AAGGGACCAGTTCTCCGAGGATCCGGTGCCCGAGCAGTCTGGAACCAGGGCTGGTTAGCTTTCATCGGAAGCGGTATCAGTGGTGGATGGTGTGACTATGCCGAATGTAAGGTCAAGTACAGCCCATGCGAGGGGAAATTCCTCGACCCACGTGCAGATGTCAACACTGAACAATACTCCTACCGAACAACTCTCATGCATTCGGATGAAGAGTCATGGCATGTAGTCGAGTCAAACGCACTCATCCATCCGTGGGATAGGTCAATGGACGGATTGCTTGAGGTAGTCGGTGCCACCATCACCATTCTGTCGAAGAATGAACTTGATTTGCAAACTCCGGACGCAACACCGAGCACATTGCCGGGTCCTTCTGAGATTGAAGTCTTTATTTAACCCATACACCAGCAAAGCAGAAATGATTCGTAGCGATGACCCCAAGTTTTATGACGCGGGGGGGTTCAAGACCAGGAGGTATCAGGGATCCAGTAAACCCAGGGACATTCCATCCTTCGTGTGGCAATCAATGTCGGTGAAGCAACGGAGACTCGCAATTGCAGAAGAGCAGAAGAAGCTAGCTAGAGTTGCTGACATGGCTGCACTGCCTAAGAAGGCAGCTGCATCAAAACGATCCAGACATTCCGAAACATGGGCTTTTGCACGCGTCTCGGAAGGGAACGCCGGATCATCATCACCATCTCAGTGCGCCGAATATGTTCCCAAGATGCCCGTTTGTGGGTACAGCGTACAGAGACACCGTGACAAGCTCATAAAGGTTGGTAGGCTACAGGGCGAGAAAGCAATCAATACTCTCGTTGCCAGACCAGTCAATCGGAAAGAAATAAGGTCGAACCCCAAAGCACAAGCATCCCTAGATGTCGAATGGGTAAAGTTAGAGAAGAAAGATGCATGGCTTTACGACACGGTTCAAGAGTGGAAGGATGTAGCTTCAAAGGCCAAGAAACAAGGCAAGAAGGTCCACATAGGGAAGGTGTTCGAGATCTGTGTTGAAAAAGGTAGCGAACTGCCCGCTGGACACGAACTTCGCAAGTTTAAAGGCCGCACGGTTTTCCAAGGGAATAACGCGCGGGATGAAAATAGCGATGTTGCTTTGTTTAGCGAACTCGGGTCATCCCCCGCGACAATGGAAGCGGGCAAGGCTGTTGATGCCTACGGGGCACAGCCGGGATTCACAACTGAGCAAGCAGATGGCAAACAAGCTTACACGCAAGGAGTCATGAAGGGAGTTGAGACATGGGTTGAACTCCCCAGGGACCGGTGGCCTAAGTCATGGGTAGGAAAATATGATAGACCTGCCTGCAGGCTTCGCATCGCACTCTATGGACACCCTGACTCCGGGGGGCTATGGGAGCAGCACTGTACAGACATGTTAGTAGCTGTTGGATTCGCCATGCCTGATCCTGAGGGTTGGCCATCGGTGTTTTTCCATGCCAGTCTTCGTTTGTTGCTCATCGTTTATGTTGATGACTTCAAGATGTCTGGGCCCAAAGAATCGTTGCAGAAAGGATGGAGCTTGATCGCCTCCAAGATTGACCTCGACACCCCGGAACCAGTCGGGAGATACTTGGGGTGTGAACATATCTACAAGCGGGGAGTAACTCTGCCAGTAGAGGCGCATCCATTTGCACACGTGTTCGACAAACGAGTTCCAGATCCCGCCGCAAAAACTGCCGCGGCAGGAGTTCAGAGAACACAAGATTTTTGGGAACCTCATCCTAACAGTCCTGTTTACGCGAGACACCATGTCCAACCCAGAAAACACATGTTTGTACCTGAAGAGTCCCTGATACAAGAACTTGGTCTGTCCAATGTCCGTTGCACGTACTTTGATGAGTGCGCGCCGGAAGGCGGAGCCGAGCCTCAATGGGATCACATCAATAACAGGAAACGAACACCATCATTATGGACGGGTGTCACTTACCTATTCACCAAAGAATGCGGTGACCCCAAGCTCGCTCTTGCTGGGGTCACTCGCGACAAGGGTAGTGCAAAGAAGGCCGCAAGAAGTCAGAACTTCTCGTATCTAGACCAACTTCACAACACCAACGCCTGCATGACCAAACCAGTCACTGTTGTTACTTATGATATGGAACCTTTCCTGAAATCATGTGTCGATCGGTATGTCGCGCTGGCAGGAAAGAATGCTCAGTCTTTGCGCAAGGTTGCCACCCCTTTCCATGAGGAGCGCATCGCTCGCCCCACAGTGGATGGAGAGGAGAAGCCAGGAGTCCTTGCACCCATCGCAACGAGAGTCCTCATGAAAGTGCTCTTCGCTGCACGCATGGCCCGTTTTGACCTACTCCGGGCGGTGCAGGGCCTAGCGGCTCGGGTAACCAAATGGTCGACTGATTGTGACAAAGCGTTACATAGACTGATATGCTATATCAATTCAACTGTTGACTACAAGATGCATTGTTTCATTGGAGACGATGTAAGTGAGTGCAGACTATGGCTTTTCGCCGATGCGGACCATGCCGGTGAATATGACAGCAGGTCTACTAGCGGTTGTGTTCTGATACTTGTCGGACCCAATACATACTACCCACTGACAGCTTTCAGTAAGAAACAGACGTCGGTGTCACTAAGTAGCACTGAATCTGAGGTGGTCTCAGCCAATGTCTCCCTCCGCTCTGTCGGTCTTCCTTCCTCCGGTTTATGGGCACACCTCCAGCAGGCGGGGGGGAATCACACCCTCCAAATCGCGTTCATCTTCAAGCAAGCTGGAAAGTTTGCCGCAAGAGAGAGTGAGGACAGAGCCCGATAAGGATGGAGACTACTGGATATATGAACCATTTCGAAGATGTTTGAGTAGGGTCCACGTTAAACCCAGATCTCACTTATACGCGCCGAACGACTCGAAGTCATGTCCCGTGTCAATCAACCGTCTCGGACTGGCCAGAACCACCCTTATGATCGATGACAAGGGAAACCTTGATCTGAAGCAGGACAATTGGAAGTCCAAGGGTGACTACCCAATCCGGGGGGAATGGAAGGGAAAGACTTTGTTTCGTGTGTACGGCCCAAATGATGTTGACTACAAGATGGAGTCACAAGAGATCCGTGAATCGCTAACTGATTGGGAATACCTTGGCATGGAACGTGAAGGATCCCTAGACCTTACCCTGTTCGCTCCCAAATCGATCGAAGGTGTCTTCATTGAGGATAATCAAGCCACGATCCGAATCCTCGAATCGGGCAAATCCCCAGCTTTTAGGCACACCGACAAAACACAGAGAGTCAACCTCTCATGGCTTGAGGAGCAGTTCAGACGTAAATGGTACCGGTTAGTTCACGGCCCAACCATTCTTCAAGCAGCCGATATCTTTACGAAGCCTTTCACGAACTCAGAGAAGTGGGGTACAGTGTTGAAACTGCTGTCCATCCGTGACATACTGCCCATTGGCCAATCGCAGGTACGATCTACTCCCGCGAGGCCACGCGTGGCGGAAGCGCACGCCGTGCCTGACGCTCAGAGATTGCTAGTTGAGGTATGTTGTGATCAGAACTCAAAGCTAAGTGATAGGAATAGATCTGCTGCTGAGGGATGCAGGGTGCTGCAGTTTACTGAAGAATTCGACTTTAACAGTAGCAGCAATCGAAGGCTCATAATCGCCCAAGTCAAGCATCACATACAAGCCCACAGCGTGGAATCAGTACTCGTTTGGGTTAGCCTACCCTGCACGGGGGGGCACTCCGTGGACGTACATCAACTTACGCCACCCAACCGGAAACCGGAAAGTAAAGCAGCGTCTCGTAGGAAGTTTGCTGTCCTCTGGACAAGTTTGGTCGAGTTTCTGTCAGTCCTTCTCAAGGTCCATGTTGCCATTGAATGGCCGAGGGGATGCACCTATTGGGGCTTACCCAAAGTCAGAAAGCTGATCGATAAACTCTGTCTCGTGTCATACCACTTCGATGGGTGCGCTGTGGGGCTGAAGGGTAAGGATAATCTCCCTATTAAGAAGCCTTGGACAGTTGCTACCACTCATGAAGGCATAGGTAAGGCTTTGAGCGAGTTTCAATGCAGCTGCAACATTCGACACGCCGAAGGTAGAGGAAAGTTCTTGAGAGAGACTCAATCCTACACTTATATGATGACAGATGCCATTCATGCTGCGTTTCGTAGCCGCATTCAGAGCTCTCAAGCAATCTCGACTTGCTGTGTCGCCACTTTGATTTGTCCTGCCGACATGAAGCACATGGCTGTGAACTTTGTGCCGCAGGTGGAGGCCGAGGTGATGCCCACCGTCCGCGATCGTATTGCGGCGTGGGAGAAGGTCTCCACGGACCTTCGCGCTGCCTGTGTGAAGGTGGCATTCGGTGAGGATCCCGAGGCTCACGTCCGTCGTTTGGCTTCCATTCGCCAGCCGATTGGAGTGGCCATTCGTGGGACGCTCGGAGGTGGCAGCGCTCAGGGTTCGTTCGGCGAGATCGCCGACTTGATGGAGCGCGTGCCGGAGTGTCTATTGGCGCAGCTGTCGAGCGGGCCGGAAGGCTCGTCCGATTTGCTTATTTGCGGTGATAGCTCCTTTGCTGTCATCCGTCAAAAGTTCATCGGTCCAATGATTGAGCCTGAGATCACGAGGATGGATTTAGCCCAATTTCTGAATCAAGATTCTATGGCATGGTGTACCCGAATCCGCTCGAGGATGGAATGGCGCCGTGGCCTGAATCGGATTGCGCCGGCAATCGAGGATGAGCTGCAGGAGATGGCCGAGCACAACAAGAAGAATGGCAATCCAAGCCGGAAAGTAGTCGTAATCGTCCCCTGGAGTGGCAATGATGTCTACGGGGATTACGGCTACGCAGGCTGTAAGTGGATCAATCAAAAACGATTCCTAAAGACCGAGGCGGACCGGAAGGTCGCAGCCGATTGGCCGTACGCTCAACTATCTCGCGTGCGAGCGGGTGTCGAGCGGCTGATTGAGCTGCGAGCCCGACCCGACATAGCCGAATTGGTGGTTGTCGGAAACGCCCCGGCCGAGGACTACGACTTGCCGAAAGCATACAACCGGCATCTCGGGGAGCACTACGGATACCTGATATCGAGAGGGGTTCCGTGTGTGGATCCAAGCACGATGACGAACCAGGTCTTCTACCACGATCAATTCCACATGATCGAGTGCTACCAGACCCTCAAATGGGGCGTCGCCGTCTACTCCCGGCATTGCAACCAGCGCATTTCGAACCTTCCAAGTGATGCAGTACAAGGACGAGATTGAACCGTTGACAATCCTGAACGCCGGTGAAGGCGAGGGAGATCTGCAGTTGATGGAGTTCATGTTCAGGTACCCTACTATCTCGGAAGTTCGAGCTGCTGCTGACTTGACGCTTGCCGGAAGGCGAGCCGTGGATCAAATCGAACTGAGCCCGGCCGACATTGTGGATGCAGTTGACCAAGAGATAATGAATTGGTTGCTGCAAGAGGAAGAGACGGATGTCGTGCGCCTGAAGGATACCAGCCACGTGCTGGCCCAGGAGATGAACCCAGATGACCTGTTGCGTTTGCCCATTGATGCAGAAGAATTGGACGAAAGTGAGCACGATGAGAGGCATCGCATCATCATGAAAGAGCTGTACCCAGACTTGCCAACTCCAATGGGGGGCCAAGAACTTGTGGAAGAGTTCCCATGGGAGGTCCCAGACGAAGGAGATACGCTCGACTTCGATGAGTGGGAACGGGCCCTTGAGGAGAAAAAGAAGAATCCGGGTGCTAGCTCATTCATCCCGCCAGTTGAGGTGCCGCTTCCGCCGCCCAAGAATGAGGAAGAGAGGGCTGACGATGAAGCCTTTGCCGATGTCCGCACCGAAAAGTCCTATGTGATTGTTGAACACCCCGTGGAGGAGCAACCAGATTGGGACGACGATGATGCGGACTCGGCGGTCTACAAGTCCGCCAAGGGTTCAGAGGCCGATGAAGAAGAGAAGCCCGAACCCATGGAAGTCGATGAAAAGGCCGAAGGGGAGCAGAAGAAGGCGGATGAAGAAGCCGCTCCCGGGGGCCAAGACGAAGTCGACCAACCTATCGAGAATCCCAGGGCGGAGAAGCTGAGGCGACCCAGGGCCAGGCCGACGAAGAAAGTGCCAAGGCCGATGACGCCAAACCCATGGAGATCGATCTGACTGGTGAGGATGATGCGGAGAAGGGAAAGCCGAAGGAGAAGCCCTCTGCCACGAAGCCCCAGAAGCCAAGCGTGCCGGAAGGTTCGCCGAAGCCTGAACTCACAGGGCTTGAAAAGGCCGCTGCTGAGGCCAAAGCTCACTACGAGGAACTGAGCTACATCGACGAGAAAACCGGCCGAATCGTGGTGAAAGGGGAGAAGGAAGAGCGGGACGCTCGATTCAAGAAGTGGAAAGAAGCAGAGCGGCTTGCAATTCGGCCCAAGGCGCAGCCGAAGCAGGTGAGGCGTCCTAATCTGGAACCCACCTTGCGGGCGATTGACACCGAAGATCCCAGTAAGGATCTCGAATTTGCCCGGCTTCCGGGACAAGAGGTGTGGCTCGGTCCCGAGCACCTCCGCCAAATCCCGCGCCGGGATGTTGAGTGGGGCCGATTTCGGTGGATCTCTCAAGAGCTCACATCCCACCTCCGCGGCCATAAGGAACTGAAAGGGTTCGACACGCCGGACTTCGAGGAAGACGGCAGTAAGCCCTGGAAACCGCTCATGGAATGCCTCCAGAAACGCATTAACCAACGCAGGGAATGGGAGGTGCTTCTGGCTATCAAGAATTCGGAAGACGAAAGATTCGAGTTAAAGACTCGCCTGCCAGGCAATACTGTGGGAGCGACCTGGAAAGGTCTGCCGTACGAACCAGTCGGTATCAAGGCGGTGCAAGGCCACAACCGGTGGGTCACTGACCGGTTGGGACACGCCAACTTCATTAAGCGTGTCTATACGCTTGACCCCGAATATGCACCGAAAATGGTCGATGAGGGCAAGCTTCCACGGATGAACATGGTGCCTGACCAGGAGTATCTGTCGTCGTTACCAAGGGTCCTATACCACTCGTGCGACCGCGCAGCTATGGAGGGAATCATCACCTCCGGCCTCATCCCTGGTGGTTTTCCAAAGAAGACGGGCCAAGCTCATAATTACTTCACGACATGCCCGCCATGGAAGGCCCAGATGAGAAAGCTTGCGGGAACGCGAGCCGGACAGCCCATTTACCTAGCGTTCGATACAGAGCTCGTGATGCAGCATGGTTGCCGAGTCTTCGCAACACGGAAGAGCATCCTCTGTTTGGACTGGGTTCCGAATTCTGCACTGATGTACGCGTACGATGCCCGAAACAACCAGTTTGTCTGGTTCAACAGGGCATACGCCAAGGTGCGACAGATGTACCATGAAGAAGTGAAGAGCCATTCCACTGACGATCCGCAGTTCCGATTGAGCAAGCTGGCTGAAGCCCGGAACTACATGCTGAACAATGCTCGCCAGAATCAGCAGCACGTCAAGGTGGGCCAGATCAACCTGATGCGAGGCGCAGTCAAGATGACGGGCATCACCGACGAGGTTGCCCTGACTCAGAGCCAAGCGTCCCGGATGCGGTCCGCCGCCAGAGCTTACCGGCTTTATGCTGGGACAGGTGTGTATCATCATCAATGAGGAGATGTCTGGCTGGGCAGGAAAGGGCAAATCAAAGGGCGAGTCCAAGGGCAAGAAGGGCAAGGGCAAAGGAAAGCCCCGCGACATCACAGACGAAGATCTGATGGCGAATGAGATTGCCCAGATCCCCAAGCGGGTGTGCCCATCACCCTTGTGTGCGACGAAGCACTTTGATGGCCAGCACCGATGCGACTACTGTCGCCGGGACTTGCAGGTCTGGTCCGACGCCCGATCGGCCAGCGAGCTGGCTCGAATGGAAGAGACGGCAAATCTCAATGAGTCCGTCGTTGCACTCGACCAGCTGTCGACAAGGGCCTATCGAAAGGCGAACGTCGTCAAAGACACGTCCAAAGGCGAACAGCAGCGCGGCGCCAAATCGGCGTTCGGCCTAGTCAAGCGACTAGCCGTCAACTACGTCAGGAAGGCGAAGCAGCTGGGATTGCCCGGACCAGCAAAGCGACTGGAGGTCGATCCGTTGTTTGCCTATAACTGTGCAACAACGCAACTTATGTCAGGGTCACTCACCTTTCTTCACCGATCAGCGCGAGCGATCTTCGCCAACCCTGGCCGAAGCGCTCTTGAGCGGAAGAGAGCCCTTGACGATCAAGAGAGGGAGCACCACTCCAAATTGTGCTTCATCCCCACCATTGCCCGGGATCCGAACGATGCCATGTCGATCGAAGACGAATCGTTCGTGTGTCACCACAATCGTTTCTTCAACCTGAAGCAGTTTTCGATGTGGTGCTCACTGGCCCGAACACGGAATGAACCCGTAGTTGCCGTGGAGGGATGGGGAAGCCTGGAGTGCGTGCCGGAAGGCGACGCCGTACAGATCCTGAGTGATTTGGTCGAATTTGCTGAGCGCAATTGGGCCCGTGCCTGCGAGGGCACAGAGTACTCAGATGCGACGATCTTTTCGGGTCGCTTCCCAGAGGTGAAGCTCACAGAGCGGAAGTCAACCGCCCAAGAAAGCACAAAGACAGCCTTCGACCCGAGATCCAAGGGCAAGGGGAAAGGTGCCCAGCTCTGTTTCGAGTGCGGCTCGCCCGACCATCGCGCACGCGACTGCCCGGAGGTGAAGGGTCGTGGCAAGGGCAAGAGCAAAGGCAAGGGAAAGAGCCAGTATCAAGGAGGCTGGCAGAGCAGCTGGAACCAAGGATGGGGAGGTTCCTGGAGCTCCGGTTGGAACCGCTCCGGACGATCCTCGTGGCAGGGTGAGGCTGCCTCGTCATCTTCCTCCGACTGGTGGTCCTCATCCAAAGGAGGCTGGTGGAACCGCTGAAAAGCCATGCAGAAAAGGGAGAAAGAAGCAGAGAATATCGTCTCGCCATGCGGACCGGAAGGTCACGCCGGAAATCAAATTCGTTGGGAGGAAGCGAGCGGGAACGCTCTGCCGTAAACCCTTCAATCAGCTCATTTTTGCATCTAATTCAATGGGTATTGCAGTCTGTGTACGCTTTTCTCGAGCATGGAACGGTAAGAGTTCCCGGTGAGACGAGCGTGCCGGAAGGCATAGCCGTTGTTCTTGTGCGAAACCTCATTGCTTATCGCAATTTTTGAGGTCGTTTGCCATAGCTGCTCAGGCGAAGACTTGTCGCATGCTCCGCATCAGTGAAAAGAGATCGTTTGCCTCAATTTTGCTTTCATCTTGCATTGGTAAATAGGAGCTTGATCACGAAAGCTAGCCTTAGCTAGCTGGAGTTGCTCTTGCTTTAGCAAGTTAAGTGACGGGGTGGACGCACCTCAGAAACCTCAAATAATTGATTAAATCAATCTTATGGACCCCCCCCCCCCCGCGGTTCGACTCCCCCCTGCGCGCGGTGAGCGGGACCACCAAGCAGCTGCAGCACACCAAGCATCTGCAGCGCCCAGCGCAGCAGCGGCAGCAGCAGCAGCAGCAGCATACCCAACGCCGCGGCAGCAGCAGCCGCAGCAGACCACCCAGCGCCAGCAGCAGCAGAAGCAGAGGACCCGGCGCCTGCAGAGCACCCAGCGCAGCAGCGCCCAGCGCAGCAGCGGCAGCAGCAGCACCAGCAGCAGCAGCACCAGCAGCAGACCACCGGAAGCCCGGCTAGCTTTCGTTCACCCCCTCTGGCCTCAAGTTGCATTCGTGCCGACATGCCACATTCGTAAGCAGTAGTTCGAGGGTTGTAGCGCGGTTTGATTTCATCGCCGCCTGAGGTTGATACGTGGACACTGATCGACTTCCTCTTCGGTGCACCGCGGCAAAGCCGCTCCGCGCCGCGGGGGGTGTTTTTACTAAGTGTTCCACGTATACTGTGTACAATATACCTCATGACCCTCGCACATTGGCTCAAGAAAAAGGTGGGCGTTATTGGCTGATTTCCTGTAAACATAAAGACCTATAAGACCTTCTCAGCATTCTTTCGCCCCATGGTTCAACTTGTGTGGCCTTCCTCTCACACCCGTGTTCGGCAAGAGCCGGAGCTTGGGGAGTTGACTTATGTTTGATCACCACATCTCATCAACTTTTACGCCCCACTTGCAGACTGCGATCTGGTCTTCTTATACACACACATGCACAAGGACAGCATTACCTGACAGCTGCTGAACTTGTCCCGGAAACGAAGCCAATAAATTTTAGAGTTCTGTGACCGTTGTTTTGAGCTCCACATTTCAGACGCTTCCTTCAAGGGATATTAGTAGGATTTAGTAGGGATACCGCAGGTCCAAGTAGTGCTATTAAACCAGCACTCCTTGTTTTGTCGACGCCTCAAGCCTCCTTGTTGTCGGTTGAGTTGTTTGGTTCGTAACGAAGCCGCAGGCATCTGACGCGACGGGCCATGGAGGCATCGCCTTGCCTTCAGGTCTTTAGCGACGAAGCTTGGCAGCTTGGCGACCGAGGGCTCATGCCATGCCTTGCTGGGAAGGGCTCGGCATGACCAACGGCTGCTTTTTCAGGGGAGAGCTGTTAATCGTTCACAGTTGTTGTTCTTCGTTTCGGGCTTGAACAATAATAATACAATCAACTCATGAAAGACATGCAAGACATGACGACCGTGGCGTGTTCATGAAAGATAGTCCTTCAATGGAGCAATCCAATGCTAATGTGGGCATCATGGAAACATGAATGGTATCATAATAGAGAGAGTAGAGTCTGACATGAGGCTGATTTGCGCTTAAGCAACTTTTGTTTTGCGGTTGAGATTACTGTAGTTGTTTTCAGCTTGACCCCACTTGAATGTGTCTGAGGTATGTAGCCAACTTTGCGCGACAAATAGATGCCGATGCGCATTGGGATGATGACTCAGCGAACACAGGCCGAGAAGGGGATGTGATGTGGGGCGTGACAAAAACTTTTTCAAACGCATATATCACCTTTGTTGCACTCGTCTATGTATATATATATTTTGTTTGAATACAAATGAAGGACTGATCAGACCTGACGAACATTTGACATGTCCATAATCTCCGACGTTTCAACTCTTGACTTGGCCTGCTTTTCTGCTCTATTTTTGACCCTTCTTGGCTCAAGCTGTTGACCCTCTTTGTAGCCAAACCGCCCGCCCGGCAGCTCCAGGCCAGGAACCGAGACACAGGCTGAGCAAATAGTAGCAGCGTCCTTGCTAGTAGCGATGGTCTCATATGGCCTCCACCTAATAGCGTCCTTGGCCAGTTTTCTTGAGCCAATCTATTTAGCACTCCCCTCTGGGCCTCTGGGACGAGAGTTGGCGGTTGCCAGTCTGCATGGAAATGGATCCTGTTCGCCAAGCCAATCTCGTGGCATACGTGGCCGGCTTAGATCGCCATCCAAACGACAAGCATCGACAAGCTATTGGCAAGCATCCGCTGGTGTACTCTATATACCTCATTTGTATCAATTTGCTGGGAAGCACTATTGCTCATTGTGCTCGGGCAATTTGATTCCTTTGCACAATAGATACACAAACGGAGAGTGGAGGGCTTGATGGGGTGGCCAGTCGGATGTTCACTCGAGGTGGCCAGTGCACCCAAGACGGGACGCGCCAGTGGCTTCAGTGCCCTCTACGAGAAGAAGCAGCTGATTGAGGCGGAAAAAAGCTGGGCGTTCTGCAAAAGCTGCAACCGAACGAGGAACCAGTTGGCCGCAATGAGTTTGTGCCAACGAAGACATGTGGAAAGAGGACTTGCCCATTTTTGTCAGTATTTGGCCTCTGATGCTACACCAGTTCTCACCACCGGCAAGGATTTGTGCGCATGTATATCATTGTTTCTCATGGTTTGTTTTGTTGATACCTGCGATCTTATCTCAATACACATCCATATGTTAATAACGAGAAAGTACAGGTCTTTATTATAAACTGGACCCGTACTTTCTCGTTATGTATATATGGTATCCTCTTGTCTTTCGGTCACGCCCCTTACTGTTTTGCTTGCACGGTGTTCCGTGTCACATTGCTTTTCTTGGAATTCCAAAACTCTAGCCGTGTAACCAGTCCTCGTCACGTTTGTTCTAAACATCTAAACACACACTGTTGGACCCTGTCGAAGCCAGCCATTGCCATCGCCCCATGTTTTGTTTCTGACCGAACCGAGTCAGGCGCTTGTTAAAACCAGAGTCAGGCGCGGCGAAAGCGCCAAACCATGAACTTCATGGAGCGAATGGAAGTTGATGCCGAACAGAAGCAGGCTCTCGCCCAGGCCGGAACCAGCGGGTCGTCACTCCCGCAGGCCTTATGACGAGGCAAAATCGTCGCTCCTTCGTCGTAAGCAGGTGACTCTGATGCGGCAAAATGAAGACCATCGAAAGGCGCTGCAGATGCCACCGGTGATACAGTGTTACTGCTGGATGATGTTCTCTGAAAGGTTTATTTATATACGTATCCCCCAAACAGAAATACGGATATGTGCACAATTAGCTGACATTATGCAATTCTTTGACGCAAACTGCATGAGCGTTCCAAACGAAAAGCTAACGACGACCAGTCACTGTCTTTTAGGCTCTTGATCGTTTGGTGGAGAAAATGCGCCCAGAACCTTTGGCGGGCACACCCAGAAGTCGAGCTGAAGTGCAGCTGAAGCCAAAGCTAGAGCTGTTTTTACATGTTGCTTTTGTTTTTGTTTTGTTTGTTTTTACTTCATTTATCTTTATTTGCAAATTCGCATCGCTTGAATTGAAGCTGCGCATTTCTCTTGAGGCCAGGGGTCCCAAGATTGCCCGAGTCTCAGTTGTTCGATGTTCGTCTTAGTCTTAGTGCAACGTGCGCCAACGGAGGCGGTACAAGTTAACACGTCAACATGTCTCAATGGGTGCGTGGCAGTTGTATGTGGGGGTCAAACCATTTGCAACTCCTGGGTGTTTGATTTGTGACTGCTTGACTGCTTGATTTGCGAGGTGAAGCACAACGTGAAAGCTTTGCATCAAGGTCTTTGGCCTAGAATCTCACACTCCATAGTGAAAGTGCAGACAGCTAACCCTTGAGCAGCACCATCAGTCTACCAGAAAGTCACTTTGCCACCGCAATCTAATCAGTCCAACCAAGACCTTGCGCTCCTTCCAGCAAGTCAGAGAATCTGCTAAAACAAATCAGTCTGCATCCTTAGGTCATGATCGACAGCTGAGCCTGGGATGCAAGATGGTTACAGAGACGACATCATGCCTTGCCTTCAATTCCAAACTAGTCTTTGGCCATGGTCAAACTTCAGGTCTTTCCTTGCAACCCTTTTGCAACCCTTCTCTGCTATCACTGAATGTTCTGCTCTCTTGCCCTCTTTTTCAACGAAGCGCTGCGGAACTGGACGGTTTTTGTGACATGTGACGCGCAGCGGCACGCGCAGCGGCGCTCTGCGCGAGGAATTGGGCACCATTAGAGTGCTACTGAGAGGTGGCAAGCCGCAATGGGAGGTGGCAAGCTGCTGCCCCGGACAGCTGACAGCAGAGGAGATGATGTTTGTGAGAAGTTGATGATGTGAAAGCGAAGTTCCGATGTGAAGCCTCGGACGTATCAGCATGTGATTCTCAGCATGTGTTTTTACTGTTTGTATTTGTTTAAGTTCGTCTACAGATATGCAGCTGAGAGACCATTCAGATATAGACATATATAGATGGACAAATACACTCCCTTGCAGGCTGTTTTCACTGGGTCCATGATTTGCTTTGGTCATGAGTCCCAAGTCACTGCAAGCCTTGAATACTAGGAATGCAGCCAGACGTCAATGCATGTAGTAGCAAGAGAAGTGAGATGGATTAATGGGAAGATGCTGTTTAAAGCATGTTTTTCTTTTTCAGAGCACGTTCAAGAATAATATGCGGCCTACTTGCATTGCTACTCGTAGATATTTTGCCAAGATATTGCACCAACCATCTCGCTTCAGCAATTCTGTGTGTTCAAAGTGAAAAAGTGCCTGCGCAGGTATTGTAGCTTTACTGCTTACTACACTGTTGTAGCATGTTGTAATTAGCTGTTTCGCTAGGAGTAGTTTTTGAAGCCACGAGAAGTGTTTGCTTCAACCAGCTTGCGAGAAGCCGATCGACTGCTCGACAGCACGTCAGGCAGCTATGGTCCTGTCCTTGGAGTGTTGGTCCGTGGCGGCTCGGGCTATTGCGCATAAGCCGGGTGCCACTGTGCTATATTTGTGCTGTTCGACTGCTGAGCTGTTCGGGCTTCAACGAGCCTTTGACCCTTCAGCGACATGTTAATGAATGCGGAAGTGACAATGCTTCTCACTTCTTGCAGCTTTTGTGTTTAATGACCTGCCCCATGCTTAGAGATGCATGAAGCAAAGAACGCCTGTCCAGTGCATCAAAGTTCAGACAATTCAGAATGGCTCTTTATTCAAAGTTCAAACGTGCTTTCTGTTGTGTGAAGCTTGATCCTGAATCGCTCGCAGGATAACACGCTGAAGCTTGAGCCCAACTGTCGAGAGTTCGGAGATGCTTCCAGGCTAACTGAACAGAAATTGATCAAAGATGTCATGCTCATGTGAGAATGCTATACTTGCGACCCTTTGCCTTCTTACTCATCACACAAACTGCTTTGAAGAGTTCTGAATTGTGCAGGTTTTCTCCAAGAAGTTCTGTTCGCACAGCACCCCTTGCAAGGCAGGACCATCCATATCTTCCAAAAATCCTGCATCCCAGAGGCAAACTTGTTTCCAGCCGACTATTAACTATTAGATACGATTATATATATATATAGAGTATGCCAACTATGCCTGACAACATAGATCTACTCGTCGCGCCAACAGGTCACGCACGCCATCTCCCTGCTCGAGACGACCAAGGAGACCATTTCACGTCACTTGCCTTTGGGGATTTGCTGGCGCTAAAAACAGAAACAAGCCAATCAATCCAAGCGGTTGGCAGTTTTCCATGAAAAGGGATCAAATCTGATATTTGAGATCAAGCTACCCGTGACTCCCGCTGAAGAGCCGGGCCAGGAGCCTCCCCGTGACTCCCCGAAGTGCACCGGCGAGCGCCTTGCTGCGACCTCGCGAGCCTCCTGAGCGGCTCAAGGAGGACTGGTCAGAGCGAAAGACGTCGATCGGTTCACTTCATTGAGCCCACAAATCACTTACCAATCAATCATCGGACCAATCAATCACCGATCAGTGACGAATCAGCAATGTCACCTTTGAATCGTGACCCATCACAACCGCTTTTTTGCTTGAGTTCTGAAAGGCTCTTTCTGACACCAAAGCCCTTGTATTTTTTGTCCAGAGATGTGGCTGGCTGTATGATTGACCGTTTGTGACTCACCTAATTACCCCAGCCTGGTCCCAGGGCCGGCCAAGCTTACCTGCTGAGCCCATAGCCACTTCGAGCTGTGGCCTCAGGAAGTTGATAGTAGAGAATGAGATCGGAATAAGATGTCTTGAGCTGCATGCTGCCTCACTAAATGACTGCATTTCCCAAATTTTTTACATTTTTCCAATGAGTTGTGGCTGCAGGCTTCTTCAACCGTGGAAACCCAGGGGGCTCAGCCAGTGCGGCAGTAACACCGAGTTGCCAAGCTCTTATGATATAGCTTAAACATCACTGACAAGAGGCTGAACACTCTTTCTTAAAGGCAAAACCAAACTCTTAAGATGACATTCTCAAAAGTTCCTGTGTTTGTTCCATTGGCTCAAAATGTGGCACGCCCGGCACGCTTCGTTTTTCCTCTCCTATGCTTTGACTTTCCCTGCTTTGCTCGAAGCAAGACTCCACTCAAACCACACCTTGTCTGCTGATGGTTCCTGCCTCTCGGATCCAGCTTCGCACAACCATGGCAGCCCCGCTCAACCATGGCTTCTGGCACAGCATAAGATTTTCAGAGCAAAGCCGTGCAAAGCATGTTTTGTCAAATGCCAGGTATCACCCAAAGTATCCCAGTCGGACTCATTTCGCGTCACGTGTTTAGCAGATAGATCAACATCACAAACTAATGGTGTCTAGGACATACATGGGAAGAGTAAATCTTTGGTTTGTTAAAGTGTGGCAAGAGAGGACAGTTCCATGGTCCATGGCTCTTGTTGGATGCAGTGGTCATGGCGATTCTGTTGCAGTGTCTTGCAAGGCAGAATCGGGAACCAACATCAAGGGATGCACTTGGGATTCAGTACTTGGATCTTGACATTCATATGGAGTGATGACTCCTCACACTGCGCTGTAGATTTTGGCCGACCGAGAAGAACACTTAATATATCTTAATATCCAAGTCTCTAAGTGCAGTGGTTGATCGTGGTTGATCCATTTTCATCTCATAGCTTTGCAGTGCAAGAGTGACCGACATCTATAGCACGGTGCCAGGCCAAGGCCGGCCCTATTCTCGCATCAATGGCCAGTGCTGCTCCAGTTTCGATGTTTCAGCTTCTTACAGCTCAAGCAGCACATTGTCACCAGTTTGCACATAATTTTGTTTGTTTTGAACTACACATCATGCTTCTCATACGTAGCATGGATTAGCATGGTGCCTCATGGCATATTCTCGGATTGCACCCTTTTATGACTGAATTTCAGCGGAACATTGGAACGATACGTTTCATCTTGCGAGGATGTAGATGATCCGCCAAGACGGCTTGTGACGGACCTCGACTTCACAGTTCGAAATGGTGAGCGCTGGGCCATTCTTGGCCCGAATGGCTCCGGAAAGAGTACCATTGCTCACACCCTACTTGACCGCTGGGAGCCTTGGATAAAGCTGAGACAAACAGTTCCAGCGGCTGAGACAAAAGTCTGACAAAGTAACTTTTGAACTTGATGTCAGAATTGTCCATTAATTGTTGCTTGGCGACTGGATCAGAAGCTGGAGCCTGGACGAATCGAGGAAAAAGCAAATGGTTCCACCGCGTATGTTTCTTTCGATTTGCAACGACAAGTGATGCAGGACGAACGTAGAGAGGCACAGCGAAGGAGAAGGACGAACGTCTCCCCGTGTCTCCCCGTCTGCAGGACGAACGTCGGGACTTTTTGGAGAGCCGCTATGAGTCTCGCCACTTGCGAGCCACCGAGCGGGCCTGAGGAACCGAAAAGCGTGCCTTCCGCATAGACCGTGCAAACGCCGAGTCAAGGTCTCATCATTCCTATTCCCGGAGTGTTATCCAGAAGATCCTGACTACGATCCCCGCACATCCGGCTTCTTGGCAGCCAGCATTCAGACTGAGACGTCAGGTGCGCAATATTATGCAAAAGAATGCTTGTAGGCACCGATAAGCTATATATTTGGATCAAGAGAAGCCTTTCTTTGGATACCACTAGCCTACAAACCTTCGTCTTGCATGACTCACATTCTTGCCTGAGGATATAGACCACCACGCACACGTGTCTCACCTCTTCCAGTGCCCTATGATGCCAACAGCTCTCACTACTTGTTGCAGAAGCTTGAGGCCGCCTCGAATTCAGGCAGCGGTTTCGGATTCGCGGCTCCCGTCGTCGCTTCGCGTCGACCACGGTCGGAACCGGTTTTTTCGGTGGCTTTCGCTTTGTGGAAAGGACGGTCACGCGACGGTCCCGTTGGGAAAAGCAATGAAACAGCAATGAACAGTGATCATATGTGATCATCAAAAAATAAAAATGTAATCAATCCAAAACTGTGACCAGTGGGAGTGATCTTCAGTCATCTTCAATTTTGAAACCTTTGCGAAAGTCAAGTACTCAGAGGAATAGTCCTTTGATGGACATCTCATGCCGCGAGTTGTGTGCTGCTCAGATATTTTGCAAGGGTTTAGCGACACTTGGTCAAACCTGGCTTTAAACTAAGCTACAGTCTCACAAGGTCTTACATGTGTCATGCAAAGGATATGATTTCCACAATTATAATTCCAATATGGATACCCATGTGATTCCCGAATATTTGCAGAGAGAGGAGGCCTCAGACTTGGAGTCCGCAGGCCATGCCGCCCGGCTTTTGCACTTTTTCGGTCTCTGGCAGCTTCGACATCGGCCACTCTTTGCGCTCTCCACGGGGGAGGCGGCTGAGTGAAAAACAGATTCTGCGTGATGTCATCCTGGAGTAGATAGATAATAGATAGAATAGTGTAACGTAATGTTTTTTCACACTTATATAAAAGATTCATATCCTCTTATATGCATGTTCTCTTTACTCCAGGATGGTCGTAGGTGAACGATGGTGCGTGAGTCCATTTGTTGCATGCCAAGGGGCGCAAGCTTTTGATGGTGGATGCTCTTCTGAAGGAGTCGCTTCGAATCACTTAGCGGGCCGCTCCATGTGCGTTCACGACTTCGAAGCCGGACACCGTGTGCCGAGGCCAAGTCTCTTGATCCTTGACGAAGCATTTGATGGTTTAGACAAGAACTCTCGCATAGAGCTGGCCAGTATGCTTGAGAGCTTTTTCGACGATAGCCCGAGAGCTCTTGTGACTCTGCTGCAAACGACTCTAGCTTTAAGGAACAGCTTTGACCGAACTGGTAAGAGGATGGGGAAGAGCTTTTTGTTTGAACCACTACTCATATTTATGTCTCTTTCATTCTCTTTCTATCTCCATTTTCATTCATTTTCCTTCCATCATTATACAATCTTGAGTTTCTGCAGGTGATGATCGTGCATCGTCTGGAAGACCTCGTGCCACTTCCGACACACACACTTTTGCTCGGACGGGGAGCTGACAATACTGGCTACAGACACTCATCCGCAATGCTTTCTTCGACATGTATAATGTGCTTTCTCTTTAATTTGTAATCTTAAATTTCAAAAATATCGAGCTTGGTTTGGTCGACATCCAGGTGTTGGACCCTGGTCTGAGAAGAAAGACGAGGTTCGTACTTTCCTTCAGGCAGGGACGGCGGCGCCAATTTTGCAAAAGGAATCGCATTTCTCTACTAATGGCTCCTGGCATCGCTACTAGGAGCAAGGACGCCACTAGGGGCTCCTGGCCTTACTAGTAGGAGCGATCGGACGCATTCTGGAAAGACTTTTGGCATCACCTCCTCACGTGAGACACCGACTGAAATCGATCGACGACGCTTCTCCAAGGACTCCAGCTCGTTGGATCTTCCGAGCTCACGGCTGGCGCAACCAGCCGCTTCACGAGAAGCTCTATTTTTCATTCAACTTGTCCACTTCTCTTTTAGTGCTAGTAAGCAGCACAACTTGGCGCTGGCCAAGTACCATAGCTGCTTTATACTACTCATAGCTCCCCATGCCTTCAAGTGTCGATGGAACGTCACTGTTCTTCCAACGACTAAGCAATGTTCTTTGGAGTGTTGGAATAGGAAGGTTTTCCTATGAGTTTTTGTGATCGACTTTTGGTTCTCCGGGTCTCTATCGGGTCAAGAGAGATGTTGCCAGGCCGAGACCGGTGAGCCCCTGGTGGAGTTCAAAGACGTCACTATCGAGCGGCCTATCTGCATCTGACTCGAACGATGTACTGCACGAACCATTGTTTTTTTTTTTTTTGTGTGTGTGTTGACCGCAAGTGGCATGTCTAATCTTGATTTGCTTGTGTGTCACAAGTTCACCCTTTCCTGTTGTTTACGTTGAAAGTTGATGAAAAGGATGAAAAAGGGGGCCACATCTAAAGTTTTTAGACTTGCGTTTTGACTTGACAACATGTGTGAAGCCTTCTCAGAGTGTAGCGTCAGTCAGTGTCAGGTATGGCCCTGTAAAAGTCTTCGACCGCTTCAATTGGACTGTTCGTGAAAGCGAAAAGTGGATAGTGGTTGGTGGCAACGGCACTGGCAAGACAACTTTGTTTGATCTCATCAGTGGCGAAAATGTGTTGGGCTACACCCAAGACCTTCACTTGTTTGGACGGCAGAAGGGCACTGGCGAAAGCATCTGGGACATCAAGAAGCAGTTGGGTTTGATATCGAGTGAACTTCACATGGAGTACTTGATCTACGCAGATCCACGCTTTGACCGCAAAGTCACCGCCTGGGAGGTTGCTTGCTCTGGTCTATTTGACAGTATTGGATTGTATGCTGATCCGACAGCAATGCAGATAGAGACGGTCCTGGAATGGGTAGATCGACTTGGCCAAATCCTTAGATGACTTGGCCAAAAGGTCAACTGATTTGCTTTGAACATGAAAACACTGATTTGCTTTCAGAGGAGATACTGCCGTGCTTGAGCTGATTCGACTTCTTAGGTTTGCAAGACCTGGTTGTCCCACCGAAAGGTGACACCTTCTCTTCGCCTTACGGTGAGGGAGCTATGTTCTCTGACCTCTCGCATGGGTTGCCGAGTCAGTATTCAGCAAGTGTTCTCTGCTGCTTTAAAGTATATAATGAGGTATTGAGCCAAATTGAGCCTTATTTTATAGGTGCCTTTTCCCATCTTACTGGCAACTGCAATCCATCTTACTTGCAGTTTGACGTTTCCAGGCAACAGAAGCTGGTGCTCCTTTGCCGTGCATTGGTAACATGGCAGAAGGGCACGATTTTATAGCTTTTCTGGTTTGTGACGATGTTTGATATTATTGTTGAGGGGTTTTAGACACAGACAATAGCATCAAAAGCTGTGCTCGATGTGGATAGCTGTGCAAACGACCAATTCTGATCAATTCTGCAGGTGAAATGCCCACGGCTTCTTTTGCTCGATGAGCCAACTCATGGGCTGTCTGGCCAAAATCGACTGCTGCTGCTAAGCGCGTTGAGGAGACCAAAAGTGTTCGCTTCCAAACATGGTTTGTGACTCGACCTTGTGTTGTTATATAAAGAACATTTGGGCATTTGTTTGGGGAAAGAACGTCCAGTTTGGAACTCATTGGTCTTGGATGGTCTTGGAGTCTTCTGATTTCAGGATGTCTATCCTTTTCAATGCCCTGCCACCCAAATCGCAGGAAGTTGGCGGAGACCAATGTTGCTGTTGTGCTCATCACTCATCGAGAAGAGGAGATTGAGGCCCTTGGTTATCCCAATGTCTTGCGACTCACCAAGGAGGCACACAGTGAGCCATCGACTGAAGCTGAGTGAAAAAAGTGTGGCACTGGGCTGTGTGTTGTGAATGTCGCAAGAGATGGTACCATGGGGCGGTTGAGCACACTTGGGCTGCACTGCAAGCAGCTGTACTAGTAGCATATGTATGTGGCTGTGGGTCAAAACCTGGAGCGCCAACACCATGTAGCGAACGACCTTCCAGGCATGTCAAGGTCTGGTTCTGACCCACAGCCACGTGTTCCGCAGCGGAAGAGGAGCACCTTTCGTGCCGTCTCGCGATTTCGTGCCGTCGTTCGCCCGAGGCCACGGAGCCGTCACAGTACGCCTGCCCGCGGCGGCGAGCCGTGCGGTGAGCCGTCTCATGGGTCGACGGATCGAAGAGCATCTTGACGGGTCGAGCCATGTTTGCTCGTTTTGGCATTTTGACCGAAGGCTCCAGACAGATCAGACAGTTTGTGAAACAAACACATGACGGTTTTCTTTGGCTTTTGAAACCCTTTGCGTTAAAATTCAGTTTGACAACACTTGAGCAAGTTACTCTTTCGTTCACTTTCCAGGACGAACATCGTCCCCCTCGTTCCTCCACTCTCACCCCAACAGCTGCACCAATTGAAAGCCATCACGGAGCCTTCGCCCCGGCCCGCCGATGTGCGACAGAACTCCCAGCCAGTTCACGGACCACGGACTTCCTCATCGGCTCTCTCGCGCGTTTGGTCCTAGAGTCCACAAGTCCTCCTTGTCCCGATGTGATCAAAGACGCCATGGGGGCGAAATGCAGCGAAATGGCGATGGGCAAACCTTCCCAAGTGGATACCCAACAGGCTCACAGCTGGGAAAAAAAACAGGTGCAATCTTGTATGTGTGAATTCCTCGAGGGATCACGTTGGCAACGAAAGGCCTTCGAGTCAGAGGATCAAGAGGATGGCGAGGTGCCTTGACATGAGTATGCAACGACTCTTGATTTGGTGAGATGATGATTCGGGGATATTCAGGGTCCAATAATTGCTGTTAGCTCTGAGCAAACTTTACTTATGCAGGAGGAAGCCGAAGAGGAGGATGAGGAGGAAGACGTTTGGAACCTAGAAGCTCCGTTTGCATTGATTCGTGTCCAGCTGCTTCGCTGAAGCCGCAGCTTGATGAAGGCTTGTTTGGCAATCGCGTGTGTTCACTTGGCGGCAAGCCAATGAGTTTTGGAGGAAGAGAATTCTGCCAAAGCGGATGCTCAAGCAGCTCTACAGGCACAGGAATAGGTATATGACATATATACCCGTTTGCGTTGCGGATGTTTTGATAGCCAACAACTGGGAAATAGATCAATCAAAGTGCATCAGAGATGTCAGTCCTTGTTTGATCTCTGAGCCCAGGGCGGGCTGGTGCGCGGCAAGACTGCTGCGTTCAAAGAGGTCCGTTTGCTGCTATTGGATGTCTTGGAGCAGAGAACCAACTGGTTGCATGGACGCGAGCGAGAATACAGGGCGAGCATACAAGCCGAGAGTGAGGGTTTCATGTCAAGAACAACAGACTTCCACAAGAAGATCAAGAAGACACATGGCGTGTGTCCATGGTGAGGCCATTGATTTTGCCCAATCTGTTGGCATCGATGAAACCATCATCATGAAGGCCGAAGCCAAGTTGCAGGAGCACAAGGCCGAGCACAGGGTGACTGTTGGCCGACTGATACGAAGTGGAACGAAGAAACGGTTGGAACGATGCGCTGGAACGGTCTGTCACAGGGGCATGCGCATGGACCTGTACTTTGTACATGTTTTTTTCCTCCGTACAGCATGTGTTTTGCAAACAGTGCTGTACAGTTTGTGGTGAACCATGGTGGCCACAGAGATGGCGGCATGTATCACGCACATGAATCTGAAGGCAAACACACTCTGACATTGGTTTTCAGTTAGCTCAGTTCCCAAGTCGAGAAGGAAGGTGAAGAACCGCAAGGTGAAGAGCTCGGCGAGAACAGTATGGTTTAACCGTGTTTGCACTGACACTCAGCGCGGCCGCAAGTCTGTTGCAAGTCTGCGGTGGGGAGAAGGCTTGTGGGAAGTATCATGAACCACCATGAAAACAAAAAGGAAGATTGGACAGCATGAGCAACAGTTTCCGGTGCAGGTACGTCGGCAAGCGTCCTTGCCGATATCCTAGGATCATGTGAGGAGCTTCGTTGGATGGAGCCTCACATGTCCTCTCCATCCCCCTGCTTGAAAAAACGATTCCGAGGTGAAGAGCCCTTAGGGACAGGGTTTGACACACACACGGTGCCGCTTTGCGGCGCTCGTGCGAACGACCTGAATAGGTACCTAAAAAGCCTTAGAAGCAAAAGAAAGAAGCACAGAAAGAGCAGCGCTAAGAGGGCAAGAGAGAAAGGTAGGAGTAGAAAAAAGTGAATACTTAGCCCTTGACAGGGGTAGGGAAACGAGCCTCAAGAGCAACCTAAAAAGCCTGAGAGAAAGCCCAAGAAACGACCAAAAACGCAAGAAAGAAAGTGGGGGGGCAGGGAGGTGTATGTACATGTGTGTGTGTATGAATACTTAGCACTCTAGAATTACTGATTACTTAGCGGAAATGAATTAAATGCAATAGTTAGGGAGCGGGACTTTAGTCTTAGACCGCCCGGGTAGAGAAGACTAGAAAAGGGACAACAGAGGGGAAAGGCACCGACGCACAAGTGTGCCGAGTACCATTTCCCTTTGTTACCCTAATTAGTAGGTGGGAGGGGTTGGGGTGTTTGGGGTAGAAACCGCGTTTGGGTTCATTCTCCGTACAAGCCCGGCGGCTTTTGGAGCAGTTAATCCAGTGGTGAAAAGGAGTCAGTTAAGAACATCCAAGGAAAGAAAGATCCGAAAAGTCTGTTACACGATTTTCAGCATGACTTCAGCGGGGATCACACCCAGCACCCAAGTGGGACGGCTGAGCGGCTCACAGTCTGACATTGGTTTTCAGTTAGCTCAGTTCGCAAGTCGAGAAGGAAGGTGAAGAACCGCAAGGTGAAGAGGTCGGCGAGAACAGTATGGTTTAACCGTGTTTGCACTGACACTCAGCGCGGCCGCAAGTCTGTTGCAAGTCTGCGGTGGGGAGAAGGCTTGTGGGAAGTATCATGAACCACCATGAAAACAAAAAGGAAGATTGGACAGCGTGAGCAACAGTTTCCGGTGCAGGTACGTCGGCAAGCGTCCTTGCCGATATCCTAGGATCATGTGAGGAGCCTCATTGGATGGAGCCTCACATGTCCTCTCCATCCCCCTGCTTGAAAAAACGATTCCGAGGTGAAGAGCCCTTAGGGACAGGGCTTCACACAGAGTCACAATATGATGTGATGTGTTTTTGGCGTGTTTGGGCAAGGTTGTGCGGGATCGAGACGCATTCGTGGAGGATGCTTTGCGCTTTGCTGTCCTTTTCTGGAAGTTTTACTTGACTAGACGAACGCAGTTAAGACTTGTCTCGCCTGATGTGCCTTTTCACCTGATGGAGGAGCTGCCCAAGTTTTTGAACTCTGAGGATGCTGAGGATTTGACCACATGCCAGGCAGCGAAGATTTTGTAGGAACGCAGCACGCAGGTTCATGATTTGACATCCAAGCTACTCTAGCAAAATACTTCACCAGTGCTGATACAGCTGATTTGCTTGTTCTCCGAAGAATTCAGCGAAAGGAAAAACTGGAGCTGGGCAAATCCCGAGGCGTTGCAGCCCAAGCCGGATTGACAAAGAACATTCCGTAGGTTTGAGGTCCAGTTTGCTGGTGCAAAGAACCTTTGACATTTCCGAAGGCCGGACTTGTTCAATTGCAGTGGACCGTTTTGCATCCCGCATTCGCCTTGTGCGTTCGGTGAAAGAATGCGCAGAGTAGGCGGCCGGCAAACTTCACCAGGTTTGCAACTGGAAGTCTCTTTTTTTGGTAATTTTTTTGCATGCCACAAAGAGTTTGTGCTGGCGGTGCCGGTCAAACATTGGACCGAGGTCCCAGAGCAACATTTGCAAAAGTTGCGGGACCAGATTGAGGCAGGACGTTTGATTGGCAATTGAGTCAATCCATGTCAATCCCAGTTGCTTGATCAATGTTGTGCTTGATGTTTGCTGTATTCGTTTCCAGTTTATCAAGCTTGGCCGCGACTTAGAAGATGAGGAGGTGGAGAAGGCAGGCACAACGGCACAACCACACAAATATGTTTTGCTTGGCCGTGCTAAACATCACTTTCCGCATGCTGTTACAAGACACCGGTTCTTGAAAAGAGGCCTCGTGGGCTTTGCTGTGATGTTTGTTTTATTGCCTTGGGGCACTCATCCGAATTCCATCGAGTTGGCCTCCGGTTTCACCGGTGAAAACGACGCTTTCACCAACGACTCAACGACCCCGCCAGGCCAAGCAGATGACCGTGGAGTCCACCCGGCGCTTCGTGACCTCGTGCTTCGGAGGCCTTCGGAGATCCGTGCGATGAGACCGAGACGAGGCTGCCCTCGATGGCCAGGCCGCAGTCTCACGTACATAGACGCTGCTGGTAAGCGGATACAGGCCAGCTCACAGCTTAGCTGGATTTGGGAGTATTTGGGAGTTTGGATATTGATGTGCCATCCGGAAGTTGCTGGATTAGCGAAAAAGAATCTGGTGGAGGCGCTTTGCTATTTGGACCCAGCTATCAGAGAAGTGAAGGTGGTTGAGGCCAGACTTGGCAAACCGAGACTCGAAGTTTTTTTTGGTGATCAGTGATCAGAAGGTCTGCGCTTGCAAGTTCTCGTGCAGGCTGAAAGCCGATCTCAGGTGTGCTGCATCCCACTGATGCGCGCGCAGGCATGTAGAAGTCTGTTTGTGTTCTGCTTTGAACCCGCAATCACAAAGATTGTTGCATTGGATTGTATTGGTACTGTTTGAAGCAGAAGCATGAGAAGCATGATCAGCAATATGAGCACAGCGACCCACACTCTTTGGACACAAAATTCTTTGTCCACTTGCTCTCATACCTATGAAATGAAGGCTTTGTAATCCAAGTAAATGCCACTCCCCCGTTTCTTTGTCAGCAGTTTATTTGTTGCCTCAGTGTAATTCGGAGTTGCCATCTCACCCCAAGTGACCAGCCACGCAATGCCACACAGCTGAGGCATGTGCAGGAGCACTTGCTGGCTTGGGAGACGACAGTGTCTCGTCCACTTTTTGGTGATATGAGGTCATGAGGTGCAAGTGGAACTAGATATTCAGATATTCCAAACAACGTCACCCTGCGCGAGATTTCAGACTTCTTGACCAAACAGATTTGCTTAATTTTGCTTGCAGCTCTTTTGCAGCAAAGCTTCAAGGCGGCTTCGCCACTCTTGCTGATGAGGAGCAGGACGGAATTGTTCTGGAGATTAGAACGACCTGGGATCCAGCGTTACTACTAGGAGCAAGGACGCTACTAGGGGCTCCTGGCATCGCTACTAGGAGCAAGGACGCTACTAGGGGCTCCTAGCCTTACTACTAGGAACAAGAACGCTACTAGGAACAAGTAGCTATAGTGGTCCAACTTCAGGACCGTTGTATTGCGCTGCGAAGCGCTGATGGAGACGGGCCTTATCTCCTCCTTGAGCATCGGTCCAAGAGCATGAACATTGTCACGATCTGGGCGCTTTTGATGGATCGAGCTTGCAAGATGGGTTTTGTTCGAACATGCTGGAAGGCCTCAGATTGAACTTCATACAGAGTTCCTTCTAGCCTTGGCTGCGTATATCTCAGTTGCTCATATGACATGTTTGTTTCCATGTATGTGATCCACAGATCTCCGCCTGCCCGAGTCTGAGGTGCTGGGCAGTGGCAACGGTCCGGACTCAAAGAGTGAACCTGCGTGGTGAGTTTCCACCGTTCAACGGCGGAAGTTCGACTCTGAACGAGCGAGCGAACCTGTCGGTTCGAAGTCGGACAGGTGAGGACAAAGTCACGTCCTCCTTGAGCATGCGATCCAGGACTTCGCAGGGAGCTTGGAACTGGGACAAGACGGATAGACAAGACGGCACTAACTTTCAGGCTCGATCTCAGCTCAACATCTCAGATAAAGAGAGCAACTTGGGTTAAACACGGTTTTGCCATCTTTTGTCTTTTGATATGTTTTTAAGTTGGTGCAGTGATGCACTTCAAATCCATCAAGCTAGGTGGGTGGTTAGCAAAGAATTTGTATCCTGACTTACAGACTTAGGCCCGGCAGATCTGTTGAAAGATCGCCGAGCAAGGGCGCCCGAGATTGGCCAAGAGGAGTATTTTACTGGATTTTCCCATCACTAGAAGATGGATGGGGTGCTCTTAAGTTAAGTTTTTGTAAACATCTAGGAACCAACTCATTAGTGCGATGGCTTCTTCTCCCCCCCACCCTCTTCCCTGAAGAAGTGTGAGCGATAATCTGCGTCCATATGTATATAGGAGCGCACTTCTCTTTACTTCGCCAACTAGTCGCCCTTACTTCGTAGGCGCCTACTTAATTAAGGAGGCAGGGCCGGCAGGGCCGGCAGGGCTAAGAAGAAGAAAGATGTCCGCATGTCTTGTCGAGGTCTGCCAGAACTGGAAGACTTGGAGGAGCGTCCACGAGCACGTCTCGAGTCTCCACGAGACTGCAAAACACCGTTTCGACCGGAGAGACATTGTCCGAAGGAAACGATTTTTTGAGCTCCATTGACACCATTCTATTTCTGAGGTTTTTACTGACCAATCCTGAGGGAACCCTTGGTTTTGGGCCGAACATGCTGGGAGCACTCAGACCATTTGTCGTTGACCGACCTCCCTCTTCGGGCGTTGCGGTTTTTGGGGTCGGTTTCAGTGTCGGAGAGGTCTCTTGGAAGGGACTGTGAAAGGCGGCTGCATGCTGAGCCAGTATTGAATGGACTTGTTGCAAGACATTTGCATGCTGCATGTTATGCTTGCAAGACATTTGCATGTGTTCTTTAATCGGACTGAAGACCCCTCCATGTTGAAGAATGAATGTTCAATACATTGTTGCCGAACGGCAAAGCGCTCAGAATCAACGAAACCCAAAAGGTCTCCAAAGTCCATGGTTCACTGGACGCAGAGATTTGTAGTGGTGGTTCAGCAACTGGATGTGTTCTATTTTTATTTTTAAATTACGTCCCTTCAACATCCTTCAACCATACAGGGCACTTGCAGTCCAGTCCAAGCCTTATTAGTTGCGTAAAGCAACTTAGCTTGCAGCCAGCTGATCTCCACAAGGGTTTTGTACCAGGTGGCAGGGTTCTTGGGAGATTTGAGGATGCGCAAACTACCGTTTCGGGCATCATTGCTCATGTCACAAACACACACATATAATAACGTATATATATATATATATCATATACATATGTATAGTTCTTCAGTGACACAGGCTGGCAAGTGTGATCCTGCAAAAGGGTGTGACAAACAGTGTGGCACAAAGTGGCACAAAGCATTTTAAGACGGCTCCTACCAAGTGTGGCAACAGGCACATGCTGCGATCAGAGTGCTTGAGCAATCACAACCCATGAGCGAAGCAACTGGACAAAGCTACGGATGGACCAAATATTTGGACTCCGCTCATGTTGCCACTTCTGCAGGAGGCTGAGCCTGCATCTCAGGCTGGTGTCCGCTTTTCAGTGAAGTTGCTTGAGTCATTTGGAGTGCAGCACAGGACAAGAAGAACAAGAAAGACAAAAAGGACAAGAAGGAGGGGCATGTTTTTTTGTACTTTCCATCGAAACTCTTCAGAGCATAACCAACAGTCTTGGTAAGGTTGGGAGTTTTTGACAGGATAAGAAAGACAAAGACAAAGCTGATGATGAAGCCGTGGTGAGCCTGAATAGCATGCACGTGACAGCAACATACAGTACTCCATGCACATGGTGTGAATCGTTTACATGTGGACGTGGACATGTTCATTTCAGGAGAAGAAGGAGAAGGAGAGCGGATCTGGAGAGCGGACGGACACCTCAAACCACTCGTCTGGTCCGACTGCACCGGACAAGAGGTCCGACCAGGCGGAGGTTGAACGGAGCACCTGTCCGCTCCAAAACGAGTCGCACCCTGCGTACCGACCCGGCCTCTGTGGTGAGCACAGCACTTCTGTCCCAAGCAGGAAGAGAAGAAAGACAAGAAAGATAAGAAGGACACGGGTTCTCCTAAATGTTGTTGCACAAAGAACGCGACCCAGCAGCCTGGTTGGAAACCATTGCTTCCTGAGCTGGCAGTGTGAGTCAGGAGAAGAAATCCAAAAAGTAAAGGGGTGGTTTGCTGAGCCTTGTGCCAAAAAGACTTCTTCCGCGCCAAAGCTGCCAGCCTGAGGTAACCTCTGGGCGGTGCATGGCCGTCTACTTGCTCCGTGGCCATGAACCGAGCGATGTCTTATGATGCACCTGAGACGAAATACCGAAAGCTTCAGCTGAGGCATTGTACAAAGTGAGGTGATTTAGCGAGTACCGTTTTCAGACATTCATGGCAAGGTTCCAAGATGCTCTGGGCGGCCAGTTTTTCACATGTAGCTCGGAACCCAAAAGTCTCATGTTCTTCATGTATTTGGGAGCAGGTTGAATGTCAGAGGATCGTTTCTCTCTCTTCCTCTTTTGTAGAAAGCTGCTAAGTGACGGCAGAAAAGAGACTTTGGGGTATTTGTCTCACCTGTACCTTATGCTGCTTGCAGCAGATAATGAATTTCATGTGATGCCATCGGCAATTGCAAGTATTTCAATCTGCTCAAATTGTACATGGGAATCGGCAAAATTGTTTAGTATGGCATCTTAAGTGGAAGCTAGACCGCCAAAGATTCGCAGGAGAAACGTGACCACTGACCGCACTCTGTCTCCACTGGATGGATTGTGCATGCAGCCCCCAAGTAATCCATGTTGACCAAGCAAGGGCATTGCTTTGTGAGAGGCTCCAGAAAGGCCAAAACTAGTGTTCCAATGATTTGATGACTGGGCATGTCACATTCGCTTTCCCAAAACCTGTGACATGATCTTTGGCGCAGGGTACTGGAGCAGGAACGGGTGGCAGCAGTGGCCGTCATGCCCTGAAGGCAGCTTGGCCATACGGTGTTCAGGATGGTTCTGGATGTTACGAAAGCCAGCCGATAGGCCAGGCTAGAGTTGTCGATGGGCGAACGAAGTGAGACTCCGGAGAGTGCATCATTAGCATCACGAAGGGCTCAGGAGACTACTTGGACAGTCCTCTCTCTCTCTCTCTCTGTGTAAGTGTAAAGTTCCAAGTACCTCAGGTGCCCCTGTCAAAGTGCCAGATGAACTGGTCAAAGCAAATGTCTCGTCCAACGCCGTTGCCTGCGGCACTGAGGTTCTGCTGTTTGCAAAGGCAACAGCTGCAAAAACTAGTTTTCACGTCTATCCACGTCAAAGTGGCCCAAGGAACCAATATGGCTCAAGCGTACCATATACCAGATGAACTGGTCAAAATGAATGTCTAGGAATACGAATAGAAGGAAATGTCACCCCACACTGAGGAGCTGAGCAGGCTAACCAGGTGTGTCCATCCAGTTTGAGGACAGAAGCTGCGAGACTCTCAGAGAGGTAGCGTTCGGGCAACTCTGGCGGAGATTTGCAGGCTTCATCTTTACAACTGCGTCTTGATATAGGATCTCCTGGAAAGGAAATAGAATGCAGGCAGGAACCTCTGGGTGCCCTTTTGTATTGTGAAAAGGGTTGTTAACAAGATAAAAAAGGGCACCCCTCCAAGCTATGCATGTGCAAGGGAGTCGGATTGTACGGATCGAAGTCTATCCTATGACCGGTCATGGCGGATGGGAGTTGATCCAGGCGTTGTGTATATCGGCTCTATCATATCGAGCCTGAATGCGACACTCTGCGTCTCTCAGCCTTCTGTTTTCCCGTGGGTAATAAGAGTAATTAGAAGCAATTGCAAATTCAACCTCACCCTATGACAACAAGACCTTACTCATAAAAAAGGATGGGAACTACACTGCAAGTGCTAGATGTTTCATACAAGATACTGAGCGAAGCTCACCAGGCTTGTGAGTCCAGGTTTAAGACAGGGGACGCAAACAGAATACAAGCAAGCACCCGGCACCCCTCAGTTATTTAGGTGCCCTTTTTCGGCATGAAAGCGACCTTGAACTTGAACCGAGAGAAACAGGGTACCCGCCCCCAAACTGTGAATGTCCTGCTCAGCTCAACCTTTGTCCTAACGCATGGGCTCCACTTC